GAGAATCCAGATCTAGAAGACAAGATTGTTGTGCTGGAAGCTGGTCAATCTGAAATTAAATCTTGGATGGCAAAACAAGATGAGAAGACAGACAACATACAGAAATGGATGGCTAAGTAAGAGGAATCTACTTCTGAGATGACCCACATCCTTAAGCTTCTTGCATCACGTTTATCCTAGTTCTTATGTTTGTGGACTTTAAGTGTTATTTTGCTCTGTTCCTGTTTTATCTGAATCATGTTCTGGATGTACTCTGATTATCTATGAATGAATATGTCTGTTTGATCATTTGTTTTACTTCTGTTGATGTTATCAGCTTTATACTATTTTCTTCTGTTAATCTTTTCTGTCTTAAAAAGTTTTCTTTTTTATTATGACAAAAAGGGGGAGAAAAAGAAATTTTGTTTGTTCAAATATAAACAGTTACTAAAATGAAATTCAGACATAACGAATTATATCTAACATTGAATTTTAGTCTTTCAGAACTATAACGTATCATCTGACAAAATTCATTGAAGTTACCCTAAGAATCCCCAAACCAAACTTTTACTCAAACCAGGTTTAACCAGGCTCTGATAAGTCAAACCAGGTTCTGATTACCAGGCTCTGATCCTAGAAGTTAACCAGGCTCTGATTATGGAAAATAAACCAGGCTCTATTCCTGGAAAGAAAATCAGTAAGAGTAAATCAGACTCTGGTTCTGGAAAGCAAAGCAAGCTATTACCAAGCTCTGATTCTGGAAAGTATATTCTATCCAGGATTCTAACTAAAAGTTTTTAACCAGGCTATTAATCTGAATAGTTTACTCATGCAAAAAAAAGGGAAGTATTTTCTTCTATTAGAGTATTCAATTCAGGGGGAGATTCTTTATCTCAATGGGAGTTATATATTTATCCTTTTTATTGAATAAAATTTCCTATGTTTTGTCATCATCAAAAAGGGGGAGATTGTTAGAATACAGATTGGTGTTTAATTATATCTCTATGTTTTGATGATAACTCTAATGAAATTTTGTATTAAGAAAATATATACTCTAACTTTGTTCAAGTGTTTTTGTTTCAGATATTAAATTAAATATTCTTATGGAAGCAAAAATGCATCTGAACAGTAGTTACGCAAAGCTCTGAAGCATCAGAAGCAAGCCATCAGAAGACTCTGAGCGCTGCCAGAAGAGACTCTGAAGCAAAAGCTGCAGAAGACTCTAAAGCAGAAGCTGCAGAAGCATCTGAAGCGTAGCTGAAGATTTTGTATGAAGAGTTTAAAGCATTGTTTCTGAAGACTCTGAATGTACTTTACGCTGCAAGTACAGAGGCTCTGAAAAACAAGTATGCTCTAATCAGATCACTCACGCTGAAGCACTGTTGCTGCAACTCTGATATCATTGAATCTGATCTGAAGAACAAGTAGCACATCAGAGGATCTGATGTTGTTTACGTTTGAAAAGATGTCAGCACGTGAATAGACTTGGTACTATTCTCAACGTCCTCTCCAACAGAACTATTCCTTATGTGTGATAGACACAAGGATTCAGGCAAAAAGCATTTCTCTGAACATTCTACTTCTGAGAAAGGAAAATTCATGTGAAGACAAAAGGCTACAGCTACTCTACTTGCACAATCTTCAAGCATTGGACTTTCAGCACTATAAAAGGTCGTCTTCAACATCTCTTCAAGGTTAACGAACTGAAAACGAATTGCCAACAAACCTTGAACAAATTATTCAAGAACTCTCATACAAACATTCTTACTCAAAGTTGAATAGTTTTTATTCGTTCTTAATCTAAGTGTAAAAATCACAGTTTGTGATATAGCTTTTTAGAAGCAATTTAAACACTTGTTTAGTTTACATTAATTTGTAAAAAGATTCCTTGAGAATACCAAGTTGTGGTCAGGATTTCTTGAGAACACTAAGACAATTGTTCTTAGTGGTTGACATTGTAATCTGTTTGAATATAGTGGATTAAGTCCTTGTGGAGAAAGGCAAATCACCTTGATAGAGTGGACTGGATTAGTTGAGTTCAACGAACCAGGATAAAAATCTTGTGTTGTTTTTATTGCCATATTTTTTCCAAACCCTTATTCAACCCCCCCTTCTAAGTGTTTTTCTCACCTTCAAGATCTACGCGCGTTAATTCTCTAGCCACAACTTTATAATTACCTATCCCTCGTTAATTACTAAGTTGAACAATTTCTTTATTTTTATCGGTAGATTTACATTCAATAATCTCTACCCATCTAATTTCCCTTTGCAAGCTCGTTAACACAATAAGAGTATTAAGAATAAAAGCAACTAAATCAAAATTATAAAATCAAAACGTTCAAATAAGATCAAACAATCATATGCTCTAACATAGTAAAATTAAGTTCGTCTTCTAAGATCTAATCAAGAGAAATCTAGTTACTCGTAGTTAAACAATGAAATACTGTGAGTTTAGATGAAAAGTACATGAAAATAAAGGAAGAATAATTTCTTCAATGGTTGAAAATTAGTCTAAATCCTTGGTTGAAACTCATGGGCGCAACTTTCTATTTTCAATCGAAACCCTTGCATAAGTAGCATATTTTTCTATTTAAGCGGTCAAAAACGTGTCTGGCACGCGTACCATTGCAACCACTATATAAAGAATCGCAACTGCGATGGTTTTTCATCGTAACCACGATAATGGCATCGCGATAAATCCAATGGCAATATCTCTTTTTTAGCTTTCTTTTACAAAAAAAACTCAATCACAATTCGAGTCACGAAACTACAAATATGATCAAATTACTAGACATACGTCATGGTGTAAATTGTGCTAAAAATACTTGTTTCTTTATGATTTATCGATTTTGCTTTGTTTCTTCAACTTCTTCACTTTCTTTCTATTTCTTCTTCACTTTAGTTCATATTTTGCTCAAAAATAATTCGATTACATTAAAAATACTCGTAAATATTACATAATGATATAGTGCCATCATGGAAGAATCAAATGCACTAGAAGAACCGGCGCATGTAAGGAATAGGTTGAAGCATGCGGTGGATGAATACAACTATCTTGGAGTGAAAGGTTATGGCTATCAGTTATCATTGAGGAACCGGTATCTAATGTTGAGGATTTGATGTTTAAGCTTGTCAATCTTGGTGACAAAGATCATCACAAGCAAGGGAAAAAATTGGTGTATCGTTGTTTTTAAGAACTTAGACGATGATTTAGTATTGTCTTTGGTAACATTTCGACCATGAGTCAACCTTGAAATAGTCATCGAGTGTACAACCGAAAGTAATTACGGATGGGAGATAAAAAAATATTCAAGAAAATCGAATGCTAGATATTTGCATATGGTTCCATTGTCCCGTACTAGAAATGATGATTGGTCTATCGACGAAGATTGTCATGGAATGTTTCTGGTGTAATTGAGACGGTTCTCTAGTGAAAGAGAAAGATACATGCAAAAAAGGTCAGCATTCTGACACTAAAATCATTAAAATTTTGAGGTGGAACTTTGCAAGTGTGTAATGAATTATACTTGAGTGTGACCGAGAATCACATTTATATATAAGAAATTGTTGTAACCGTTTTCAAGTCGTCTGACAGAGTGAATGTGGTGTATGCCTTATGCAGTGATACTTAAGACATGTCCATTTATACAGTAGTGCGACGAATCCCTAAAGAGAATGGGCCTATGTGAATTATTCAAGTTTTGTGGGTCGAATACCGATGACTGATCTAAAACAAAAACTTTTACACATACTACTGATTAAGCTCAAAAAAATTACCGACAACGGTTTATCATAAACCGGTACTTAAAAATCATTTAAAAATCAATGACAATAACCAACACATTCTAAAAGTATAAATTCAAAATCTTTCTTGTTCTCAAAGCTAAGCAGACGTGATTAGATTTGTTAACTTCCATTTTTAAGAACCCCGTTGATGTTAGATTTTAGTGTGACTTTTTACTTTAAACATTCATTTTCGATCTTGGTGAAATATTGAGGTGAGTTTTTAGTATTGATACATAGCATAACCCGCCAAAGAATAAAAGCCACCATTCTATGGATGTTAAACAAAAGCGTGGTCAGTAGGGCCACCATCTAGGCCTAAAGCCCCAAACACTTCCCATTGATCCGTTCGCAAAACTACTAGATAACGTCTTTTTAGACTTTTATGGTCAATTTAGTCATTTCCATTGCCTTGCATAGAATCGTGTAAGAGGGATTGAAAAACATTGACTTGCATATAACTTTCTCCCAATTAATAAGTAAAATATGTTACAATAATTTGAAATTAAAATGCAGTTAGCTACGAGTTCATATTGTTTTAAAAATTGCGGTTAGAGTTACATCAGTTACAAAAATATGACTAATGTAGTTGAAATTGTGGTTGTGATGACATTGCATAATCTCAAGTTTCTTTCGAGATGCAATTGTGGTTACGGTTGCAGATGACAGTTTAAAATTCGAACACTCATTCTAAGTATCGCAAGAATAGACAAAACATAAGTCATTGTTTTCGTTCAAAAAGACAGTCCTGTAATGCCTAGTTGTTGCTGCAGAAGAAAATATATGTCAAGTGCTGACATAACAACATACAGTAAATGATCTTGTCTGTGAATTTAAAATCGGACAATTGAGATTGAAAACCGTTCGACGCAGTAACTCCTGCAAAAACAATGAAACTTTCACCAGAAAAACTCAGCTGGATCAAACACTTTGTAATTATATAGCTTTTTTCTTCAAAGTTGCTGAGACTACAAAGCTTGATGAAAAAGCATAGTAGAAACAGAAGCCACATTCCCTTATCCTTTATGAGAATTATTCATATAAACAAAAGAATGAACTATTCTCTATAAAACCTAAAAAACAACAAAAAACACACATCAACTGTGCTACCAGGAAAATGTCCATCAAATCATAGTCAGATGTATATCATCCTAAGCTGCTGTCTCTCCCAGCATTCAGCTGATGTAAGTCTTCCAAATTCCAATGTTCAAACTTCCACCTTCCCATTCTCCATGCTTCTATTTCTGCACAAAAAACCACACCCAACCAAACACTTAATTTCACATCAAAATTGAAATCAAACCAATCAAAATTCAAACCAAAACACACCTTTCCCTCGGGAACATCGGGAACCTTGTACGCATCAGCAGAAACCTCAGACAACCACATCCCAGGAAAAAGTGTCTGCATAACAAATAACATTAAAACAATCAAATTAGCATTAAAAATTACAATAATCAAAATTGAAACTTTGATTAATCAACTTACATCCATTTGCCTCTGAACATTTCTGGGCCGCTTTTTCGGCCTCCGCGGAGGACGATGAGCCAGCATCTTCATGAAATCTTCTTCAATCTCCTTTTTCGTCAACGTCAATGAAAATTTCACCTTTTCATTCGAATCACCATCACCCTTCAACTTAACGCCGCCGTTACCATTCCTTAACGCCGACGGCGACACGTTAGGTTTCTTCTCATCAATCTTCAACAACCCCTTTCCACTCTCTCCACCACCAACACCCTTCCTTGTTCTCAAATTCCACGTCCTCTCCCTCGCCGCTGAAGCAACAACCTCGACCTCAACCTCATCGTCGTCGCCACCATTATTCTCCTTCTCCTTTCTCAATATCGCATCTTTCATTCTATCAGCTTCAGTCTTCAGATCAAGCATCAACTTCTCTCTAACAGCACCGATCCCGTCGTCGGCGTTGAATCTTTGTTCGCTGATCTTGCTCCTCTTTTTCTCAGACTCCGTCGCATTATTCCGCGACGGCGATCCCTCGTCGGAAGGAATCTTCATACACTTGAGGTGACGCTGAGTCCCCCACTTCAAACAAGGTAACATGAAATTGTGAAGAGGCTTCACTCTTTCAGAACCCGAAGCCATGTTACTCTCTTCTTCTTCACCAGAAAACACCATTGATCACAAACAACAACAACAACGAAAAACAGAGTAACTAACAGAACTGAATTTCAAGAGAGAAACCGAACGAGAGTTCGAATTTTCTAGGAAGAGAAAAGGTTGAGAAGGTTTCGTCGCTTGAAAACTCGCCGGGAAAACGTAATGTGTTTTTGTTTTTTTCGTGTACATGTATATATACGAAAGCGGTTTTAACGTTCGGCTTCAGTTTCTAGCCTATTTGCTAAAATGCGCTTTGGGTGATTTTTGTTTCTTTTCCCTTCCTCGTTTTTTCTATTTTTCTATTTTTCAAAATGAAAAGTGCGTTCAATTCATATGAACAATTTCTAATTCAAATGATGCAATCTTGACCGTTGGTTTTTGGCTATTTTAACTAATGTATCATACGTGGAATGAAGGGGATGCATGTTGAAATATTTTAAACAATTTTTAAAAAAGTCATAATAAATTTAAGAAATTATTAGTTTTTTATTTATTTAGATTTTTTAACTAAAGAAATTTATTAAATAAAGAAAATTGAATCTGTTTTAATTTATTTGGATGATTTTATATTGAAAAAATTATTTTACACAGTATATATTCATTAAACTCTTCTATATTATTATGAGGTCAAATATAACATATTTAAAATATTTTATGTAGAATTATAATAAAAGTCAAGTGATATTATTTGTGAATATAAAAATGAAATAAATTAGAAATTAAAATTTAAAAGGAAAAAAGTCAAAATTAAATATTTTTAAAATTAGTGATCAATTATAATAGATACCAAGAAAAAATCAATAAAACTCCATTCATTAAAACATTATGGTGTTGTTGAATTGAAAACAAAATGTCAAAAGAAATTGATAGATAAACACATATTTTATTATTTATTTAAAACACACGTTATAAAAAAATATTATTTTATTAATTTGCAATTTTTAATATTTAAAACAAACGTTATAAAAAATATTATTTTATTAATTTACAATTTTTAATTTTTAATATAGCCTTAATAATGACATAATAAAATATATATTCTATTTAAATATAAAATCACTCTTTTGAAAAAGTTACATATAGCTCCTTAAAATATAAAGTGTATATATTTAAAATATAAAAACAAGAATATTAAGATACTAAATTTAATTTTTAAAAAAAATAAATTCATATTTATGTTTATAAAAAAATTTATAATAACTTTTTAAAAATATTTAATTTAAAATATCTTATATGAATTATTATAAAACTCAAATGATATAATGTTTGATTGATTAAAATATAAAAATGATATAAATTTAAAATTAAAAGTTAAAATCTAAAAAGAAAAAGGTCAAAATTGAATATTTTTAAAATAAACAATTAATTATGTGAATAGAGACAGAAAAATCAATAAAAAATAAGAATTATATTTTTTTCATTTGGAAATTTTTTAAACACGTTTAACTTATAATTTTTATTTGGTAAACATTATGGTTTTGTTGAAAAGAAAACAAAGTAAAAAGAAATTGAATAAATATATGATATGATATAGACCAAATAATAAGCACGTATTTTATTATTTGTTTGAAACAATCAGCAAAAATATATTATTATTATTACTATTATTTTATTATTTTAAATTTTTAATAGACTTAATAATGACATAATAAAATATATATTCTATTCAAATATAAAATCTGTCTTTTAAAAAAGTTACAGATATTCATTGACATACTAAATAACAATTTTTTTAAAAAGATTAATTGGAATACGCCAGTGTCATCCAATTAAAATTAATTTTTTTTGACACATAAATGAGAGAGAAAAAAATGGGAAAATTGAATATTAAAATAATTAATTATAATATATTATTTTTATTTATAACTCACGTGCTTGTGTATTAAAAGAATTATTTATTGAAAAAATTAACTAACATATTAAGATACTATATTTAATTCATATTTCTATTTATAAAAAATTAACTAATAATTTTTAAATTTTATTTAATTTAAATAAATTATTTATTGATTATTATTTTCTAATATATTATCAATTTTCCTTGTTAATTTACTTTATTTATTTTATATAATAAATTATATTTAATAAATAAAAATCAATAATTTACTCTTTAATTCTATACTGGTTATTTTTCATTCAACTCAATTCAAGATAAAATTTTCAACTAAAATAAAATGATATAATAAGTCTTAAAATTAATTTTTATATTTAATTATCTCATTAAATATCAAATTAAAACAGCATATGATTCATTCATTTTTCTAAACCGTTGAATTTAATTTTATATATATTCATTATTTAATTATTTTTTAAATTATTTTATCCAGAAATAATTTTACATTTTAAACAAATCTAAACAATAGTAGGCACATATTTATTATCAGAACGAATATTACATAAGTTATATATATATATATATATATATATATATATATATATATATATATATATATATATATATATATATATATATATATATATATATATATATATATATATATATATATATATATATATATATATATATATATATATATATATATATATATATATATATATATATATATATATATATATATATATATATATATATATATATATATATATATATATATATATATATATATATATATATATATATATATATATATATATATATATATATATATATATATATATATATATATATATATATATATATATATATATATATATATATATATATATATATATATATATATATATATATATATATATATATATATATATATATATAAAAAATAAAATAAAAGTCAAACAATATAATGTTTGTGATTATCTAACATTATAAAAATTATATAAATATAAACTCTAGAAGGTAAAATGTCAAAGGATATAATATTTTAAAATGTCAAAGATAAAAAATCAATTAAAAATTAGTATTATTTTTTATTTGGAAAATTGTTTAACACATCCAACTTTTAATTTTTATTTGGTAAACATTATGGTCTCCTAGGATTAAAAACAAATGTACTAAGAAATTGAATAAATATATTATATGAGATTGAACACATCAACACGTATTTAATCATTTATGTGTTTCATAAAAATATAATATTATTATTTTATCATTTTAAATATCATAAAATTTAAAATATATTACATAATATTATAATAAAAGTCAAAGGATATAATGTTTGTAATTAACTAACACATAAAAGATTATATAAATTTAAAATTTAAAAGAAAAAAAATTAAAATTGAACAATTTTAAAATAAATGATCAATTATGTAAGTAGAGACATGAAAGTCAATTTGAAAAAATAAGGATTTTAATTTTTTCTTTTATTTTCAAAAATTGTGGTCTCGCTGATTTTAAAATAAAACATAATAAAAAAATTGAATAAATATACTATACCATATTGACTCGATAAACTTGTATTTTATCATTTGTTTGAAACACACGTCATAAAAGCTTAACGTAATTATTTTAACATTTTTAATATTTAATACATACAATTAAAAATAAAAAATCACTAAATTACATACAGTTTCTTAAAATTATATTAAATAGTTTTAAATTTAATAAATAAATAAATAAATTCTAAAACAAATTAATTAAATTTAATTAATATAAAATTCATTGACGAACTAATTAATTAAATTTTATATATATATATATATATATATATATATATATATATATATATATATATATATATATATATATATATATATATATATATATATATATATATATATTTATATTTATATTTATATTTATATATATATATATATATATAAATATAAATATATATATATATATATATATATATATATATATATATATATATATATATATATATATATATATATATATATATATATATATATATAAAACAGAAAAATAAATCTTTTTTAATTAACAAAATTAATCTTTTAAAAACTATATTCTTTATTTTAGATGACAGAGTATTGTTATGTATGATATTTTGTATTCTTCTTAAAAAAAATTAATATTTTTAATGTTAGAAAATTAAAAATATTTTGATTGTCAAAATACTTTTTATCATATTTGGTCAAATAAAATGACTTTAAAAATTAAGATAAATTAATATATTTTTTTAAATTCTATACTGCTAATTTTTAATTCAATTCAAACTCGAAATAATAATTTGTACAAAAATAACATGATATAATCAATCTTAAAATTCATTTTCATATTTTATTATCTCTTTAAATATCAAATTAAAATAGGATATCATACATTTATTTTATTATACACTGACTCGTTGAATTTAATTTGATAAGTATTTATAATTTAATCATTTACATTTTTATATATTTTTATATTATATAAAAATAAATGGTTCTGAATTGTGCGAAAGATTAAAAACTTGTTTCCGTGTATTGCTAAGTCAGTCCAACCGGCATAATGATGTGTGTACTTGGCGGTCAAGTTCGGAAAGGATAATGATGTCATTGCATTTTGGTTTCAGTTACTATGTTTTTGTTTTCACTATGTTACTGCAATGATGATTTAGTGTTCAGGTTTTCGCAGCTAAATCTAACAGTATATTTCTCTCTCTTGTCCACTTTCTCTTCATTGCTTGATTTTTAGTTCTCATTTTTATTTGTTACACATGTTTATAAAACTAATATTCAACCAAAACATTATTTAAAAATTATTAGTGTGTACAAATTAAATTGTTTTTAATTATTTATTATATATTAATTTTTATGCGCATGCTTCCAATTTAGTTTCACAATGACGTTATTTAGTGATATTAATTTTCAAAATATCTTTATAAGTATTAACATAGTGAGACACGTCTTATGTGTAAAAAAAATACATTTATAGTATATATTATTTAAATATTAATTATAATTGTTGGTTGAATATGAGTCTAAAATAGATTAGAATAGAGTTGAATAGGTATTTTTCTTTTCTTTTTTAAAAATTATTTTGAAAACAAAGTTTGAATAGAAAATTTTATAGTTTTTAGAAGAGATCACACTTAATAATGTTGAAATGATTT